AATGAATTACTGAAAATAGCTTTTGATTTTAGAGAAAACTCTATTTTCCTATATACTTCAGTAAATATGCTATTGAGAAAGTATAATTTTTAATATGAAGCCCAATTGCATATTGAGAAATTTTTTCATTTAGAAATGGTGTTAAATACGAATGTATATTCATCAATTACGCGTACGCTTCATTGTATACACATTTTTGAGATGTCAACGTTCTCAATAATAAAAGAACATTCGAGCTGATAAGAGTCATTTTTGTTTACAATCATAATGAAACAGGTCAGCATGCTGTGTTGAGTTTTCTCATGGGAACCGAGCCGCCAGCACATCGTACAGTGCAGGAGAGAAACAGTTCAAGATCTGCTGCAATGGAGCGACAGTGGCAAAATTTCTTTGATAGTGCACATCAACTAATCTATGAAAACAATTCGACTACAATCGATCTAAATTTAAATGTGCTCATGCAAAGCGATTTAACTCAATTTTGGCGATACGAAGGATCGTTGACTACGCCAGAATGTGATGAAAATGTCATTTGGACAATTTTTAGACGACCTATTTTGATCTTGGATTATGATTTTGAAAATTTTCGCGATGATTTATTTTTCGAAAGTTATCGTGGTCCACAACCACTGTATGATCGACAAGTGTATCGAAGTTTCACCCAAGAAAATTATTCACTAATACCCGACGAAAATCTGTGTCTAAAAAAAACATCAGAAGCGGCATTGTTCTTTAATATTTTTCATCAAACTATCATCTTTGTACTCCTTTCTAGTTTTCTAACTTTTTATTGATTATGATACTTAAACTAATTCATATTGACTTTACCGTGTCATTAATCATACTGTAATTAATAATAAATGTTCGTAACTGTGAGAGTGGGATGTGAGTGTGAGTGGGTGTGAGAGTGTGGATGTGTCGGTGTGGATGTGGGTGTGAACCGATATTCTCTTCTTAACCCTTTGAGGACGGGATTACTTTTCAAAAAGATCGCGTTCTCAAAACTTCAAAATAATATCTCTGCTAGAAAGAAGGTGTATCAGGATACAATACATATGGTGGTGTAGCATCACATCGGTGGTGAAGAGTCCATAGTCTGCACTAAATGTAGATCACCGCTATATAATGAGAGACATATTCAAGTGCGTTACAAGTCGATAGAGAGCCGTTGCCTATATATAGGCTTCCCGTCCTCAAAGGGTTAAATACACCCACATCCACACCCACACGCACCCATACCCACACCCAGCCACACCACACACCCGCCCACACCTCACATCCACCCACACCCACACCCACACCCACATCCTTCCCCTATTGGAAGCGTGTCCAACACTCGTTCGAACGTGACTACAACACCCGAGTGATCAGCCGCATGATGAATATTTACAATGTTTCAATATGTAAGTAAAGTGTGAATATAGTTTTATAAAACATACCTGTCCACACCCACACTCATACTTTTCATTAGTCAGAATAACAATCAAATTTATTAGCATGTAAATTCCACTTTTTGGAGATTGGTGATGTTTAAAGTATCCAACCAAAGACCCATGGTCGAAACGACGTCGTAGATATAAAGTTCTTCACGAGCAGCCACCAATGTATGAAAACGAACATCGATCGTGAAGCTTCTTGTATTTGGATGTAAACCCATGGTCGTACACTTGAACTTAGAATTGGCCTGATGATGAATCCATTTCCATCTTCCATTGCTCAATTGGTCCGTTCGGATGCCAGTAGTTACTTGTTGTCCTTGTTGTATTTTGATGTATGCAAAGGATTGTCCTGTATCAATGAAATATGCGAAACGTGAAAGATTGACAAATAGATTCATCTTTCCATCGGTTGAATTGGGAGAAAGGGTAAAAACACATTGATCAGAGCCATTCCAATCAGGTTTAGTGACAATAGAATCTTTTCTCATGACATGCCAGCCATGTTCTTCTACTGATAAATTACATTGGATGGGACTCTTCTCAATCAGGTTTTTCCAACTACCTAATGTACCGTTCGGTAAGGTCGTATTTTCAAGAAAAACAAGCTCACTTCGAAAGCAAACTTCGTTGGAACATTGAGCACCTGATAGATTGGCACTGGATAAATCAACATAATTGAAGACTGCACCAATCATATTAGCATTCACAAAACTAGCATATTTAAATATGCTTAGATTCAACTGTCCTTTATAAAGTATAGCGTTCGTAAAATCTATGTTGGTTGCTTCGGAATATGAGATGGAAATATATTGCAGATTGCTTTGATAGAAGATACTTTTTGTCATATTGCAATTAATAAATGTCATACTTTGTAGATTAACTTGAGTAAAATTTGATCTCTCCAATTGAACAGAATCAAATAAGCAACCCATGCCGGGAAAAGTATCTGCTTTAGAGAAGGAAAATGTTGTTCCCCATAAATTAAGTCGACGAAATTGTGTTCGAGTTAGTGTTGTGTAAGAAAAATCAGACTTAATCAATACTGTCTCTTCAAATATTGCATTTGTACAATCACTAGAAGTGAAAGTAGCATATGAAAGATCCGTCGAATGAAATATAGCATTAACAAGAATAGTATTGATAAACTTTGAGTAAGCAACATCGTTATGATCAAACCTAGCCTTGGTTAGAATAGCATTAGAAAAATCACTTTGAAACAAATTAGCTTGTTGGAAATCAACATTCATACAATTAGCTCGACTAAAGTTAGCATTTTTAAGGTATGCTCCAGAAAAATTTCCATTGGATATGTCTAGACCAACAAAGAAAGCATTGCTTAAGCGTGCACGTACTAACGATAATGAATTCATAGATGAATCACTTAAATGAATGCCATCTAAAGGAGCATTGGATAAATCTAGAGGATTGTGATTAACAGTTAATTGTCCAGCATCATAAAGAAAATGAATGATTTGACTGCTTCGTATTGAACCTATTCCCATACGTAAGATGTGCAGAGTTTTAGCTCGTGCTAGAGCAGCAGCTAAGAAACTCGATGTTAATGAACCATTATTTTCTTTTAATAATTCTCCAATATCATCGAGATAATTTGCAAGTAAACTATCGAGATATTTGATTCGTTCTTGTTCATATCGATAATCCTCCAATAGACGAGACATATTTCCTTGACTTTCAGCTATTTCTCGATCATTTTCACGTTGTAACCGTGCAGCTAATTTATCAGCCTCACGTGTTAAGATCGATATATTTAATTCTTGTTCTCGATGAATGCGAGCTAATTCTCGATCCTCAAAACGTTGTTGATAATTTTCTTTTCGCTGTTCAAACGTAACAATCACAGTAAATATCGCCAGTAGAAGAGGAAGAAACAGAGCAGAGATTAGTTTCACTGTATGCTTGTACAGCTTGACACAACGATTTGAACGTCTATATGGAAAAGATTTTTTCCACAGTGTTAATCTCTTCATTATTGAATTGAATCCTACGAATAAAAAGAATAGAAAAGAGTACCTTTAATTAGCTAGTGAATATCATCAAGTTCGAACTTATATCAAAATATTCGCATATCGACTTGTGCTAGTCAATGAGAGTTGAATGATAAAGACAGACAAAGTAACATTTAACAATATACAAAATAATTATGCGTGCTAAGTCGACTAAATGAACACTTTGATTGACTGTCTTATGAAATATCTATATACTACCTGATGTCGTTGAATATTCGCTTATTAATCATTTAATTGATGAATTTCATAGAAAGTATTCTACTTTGTCATTGACTTTCTCAGAAGACTAAGTTAGGCGAGTTCCGAATAGATTGAATGAAATCGTGTTTCACAAAATTGACTCGCATGACTTTGTATCGCTATGAAACTGTTATATCACCATTGAAAATTAAAAGAAAACACATCCTTCATGTAATTACTGATCACGGCGAAAACACTTTGCTGTACTCATCCGTCAGAGTCATCAAGATAAGGTTGCTACAAGATACCTGCGTTATGCCTGTCTCTGACGGAGAGTAACACTAATAAAACGATGAATAATCTTCAGGTGCTGTTATTTTTAGCGCATTTTATATTCATGTGTAATATCGTAATTACATTAGTTGTCTATTCTCTATGATTTTATGCGACGGAGTTTGTTGTTGCAATTCATTAAATCACAGCTCAGACAAAGAGGTAGGCGAGAATGTGGCAAAAACAAAGAGTAAAGCTTTTATTTTCATTTATGGGTATGTTTGACAAACGTGCGTCAAACGAGTATTAAAGTCAGGAACAAGAATCCTATCGGGACGTGTCAAAAATTCATTCAATCCTCCCCATTGTCTTAAATTACATAACAGATTGCAGATCTAGTAAAGAGGTTTAAAACCATTCCAATTTAGACTTTTTCTAGAGATTCGGAAACTGCTGTTTAATCCTACAAAATTTTTCTTCAGCTCATATTTTAACGAAACTATATTAAATATTGATAACTTCGTAAGTCAGAAGTTACTAAGCGATGAGAGAAAGGGAGCTGACTAAACTATCTGCGGGTGTGTGGGTATTGGCCTTCTCTATAACCACACACACAATCTAAATAGTTTATCAATTTAACTAACAGATTTTTATTGTTTTAGGCATCATCCAAGAGCTATGGTAACAACTATTGCTGAAAACCCATGATATTTTTGACTTATGAAAAACGAAACAATCGTACTTTTCGGAACTAATGCAAGATGTTTTTGTTTCTGTATGACACTTTTTTTTATTGTTGTGAACAGTTAATCGTGATTAATATTCATTTTTGATATGTCATGTGTTTTAACGCCGAAATGAATTCCATGCTTATAAATAACAAATAAAATATTCGTTAACTATAGCGAAATTTTCATTTAATTTCAGATTTGGAAGTATTGCTTTTTTGCTTCATCCATTTCCTATATACTATTTTTTACTAGAACAACCCAATATAAGTATTTTTTATTCCTCAACTTACCTTTGTCGTTCTTCATTTGTCTTTAATTGCGCATTTCATGCAGGATATGATATAAACGTGATAAAGAAAGAAGAAGAAATTTTTACCTGCATTTGTTTTTCTCTAACTATCGTCGATCGAAAGTGCCCTCAGACTCATTCAACTATTATTCTGTTAATTGAAATCATGTCTAATCGACAAGGTAATAGCGACTTTTCAGTGAATGATTTGACCGAAGACGGTGCCAGCAAATCAGCTACTAGTGGAACTACAGGTGGTTCTACAGGCGCCTTTGCAAGTGGTAAAGGTAAAGAATGATCGACAACAATAGGTACCTACGATACCAGTGCCCATCACGATGCTCCTGTTAATGAACAGATCGATTCATGTAGTGGTGCTATTTCAGGAACACAGACTCAAAAATACAAACATAACAAATAATTAAGGCTGTGGGTGTGGGTGTGGGTGTGGGTGTGGGTGTGGGTGTGGGTGTGGTTGCAAGTGTGCAGGAAAATGAAGAGACGAGAAAACCCCCACACCCACACCCACACCCGCACCCCCACACCCCACACTCACACCCACACCCACCCACACCCCACATCCAACAACACCCACACCCACACCCACACACCCACACACCCACATCCACACCCTAGGACATAATCGATTTTCCAGGGATATTCTCCGAAGACATGGAATCCTTGAACTCGAACCAGAGAAATCCAGTTCGACTGGATATTTGTTCGCCTCAACTTCGTCTTCTGTCAGTGTTCACTGCCATTCCTTCCTCTGGGCTTACTTGTGCTGTGCACGATGTGCTATTCTTGTCTCGTTTGCATATTATATTCTCAAGAATATCACACATTGTTGGCTCCCTTTTTTCGCTCCGTCGACCAAGATCTCTCATATGATCAATTGCCTTTTCTCCATGTTTCAGTTCATTCATCTTTCAATTGTGGATGAAGGCAAGCTCTTCTCAACTATCCATGTAAAAAACAGAATAGGAAAATTCAACTTTTAAGTACTTTCCATATTAATACAGTGAAAAAAATAAACTTATCTTACTAATTTTCATTTTGTCGTTTAAAGTACTTAATGATACTTTCCAGAATTATAGAGATATAATATTACTTTCAATTACTTTCAGAAATTCTTTATCGTACTTTTCAGTTTCCCAGAAGCAGCTATATCCACTCCAACGTCGTGCCTTTACTCATTTAGAATTAAAATAGTTCCATCGCCTTTTGCTGCTTTATTCTCAAAGAAGTGTATTCACAGCTTTTTCGATAATAGAGTAATAAAATTCAATAAGTACTGCATTGAATAACCTACTCATGTTACTTCGTGAGAAAAGTTGCATTCCTACTTAGTTTAATTCGACTCATTGTTTCGATTCATACGAGCCTTCCTGTGTGAGCTTATTGCATTCACCCTTCTCATCTTACACAAATAGAAATATTTCGATAAGAACCACTTACTGGCAAAATAATATCTAATAATCAATTATTTGGCAAAAGGCTTCAATTTCGTTGCTTTGTCGTTGATCTCAACGACCTGCGATAGCTTATTTGTGTGAATGCTTTAGTTTCGTCAAGCTTAAGGTGAATGTGGCGTGTACTGCAACATATATCATTGAATTACTGATTAATATTCACTGAATATTTTCTGTTGGCAGAAATCTGCGAGGCGCTTACACATAAATCATGTCATTACCCTACTCCACTATTCTGTAAGTCATGAATATTGTCATCTCATTGGTTGTCAATTCTTTTCTCACTGAAAATATCCTCCGAAGATAAGTATACACATGTTTGTTGGTTTTTCGGCATTTTGCTTTATCTGACTGTAGAAAATCAGCCATGCAACTGTTTGACTTAAACGATTCGTGAAAATTGAATTGGACAGTTAGATTATCTATGTAAAGTCAAATGAACTGAAATCAGTTGCTGTTTTTAATCATTTTCAACAGAACTGATCATTGCCTCATTTGTTTCATAATAAATTTGATAGTTTCTAAAGAGCTATATGAAAAATTATCATCACTGGAATTTATATAGGGAGTAGTCGTAGTATTGAGTAATATTCCTTAAATTGCTGCAAAAGATTTTTTTTTCATTCTGGAAAGAATCGAACACAAAATAGTTTTTGAAATAAACCTTAATAAGTTTTGTATTCAATTATGGAATTCAATTATAAGTTCAGTTTATTGTTTTTTTCATCCAGACTTGATGACAATAAAACGACATTTTTTTGTATTTTATACTACGAAAAATAAGTCGATGCAAACTTGGATGGTCCATGATGGTTACAACTCAGATTGATCATCTTAAATCCTGCATATTAATAACCTACTACGAGCAAAAGAACTTGAAATTATGAAAGATGTTAACTGGCATAATGAAGATTCTTCACTAGAATCCATTTTCCCTTGACGTTAATCAACACTTGTTTGAAACCAATGTTTTATGAAACACAAGTAACAGTCAGTGTCGAAATCTCGAGCAAGAAATTTTTCCTCTCTCTGCCACATTACATACACTCTCTACCACTAAGCAAAATGAACTTGAATGCTTGAATTCTTATTATTATTCGTCCTATTTTCAGAAGTAAATCATTGAAATTCGAACGAAATTCAAAAATTCAACACTTTTCTTTTTTTCCTATATCCTCTTTTAACATAGGTCCAGACAGATTCATTGACATATGCCTCTTATGTCTTTACAAATTTTAACAGAATACAGCATTTCTGATGAAAGATATACTACTATAGCGTTCTCATGTACAATAAAACTAAATAGATCGTGTTTCATATTTCAGTCTCATAAATATTGTGCAGGCGACTATTGTTTTAGTGATTTTTCGAATTGGTTTCAAACAAGTCTCTGTATTCTTGCTTCATGCAATATACCTTTCTCTTGTTCAACTCGCTTTTTTATAGGGAATACAATTTCGTATATATGAGGTTTTCGCTTTCCTTTAGGAACATCGTTCCACGGATAATGATACTGCTTGAATACAAATTTTCTATCCTTATTTTTCTTTTAAGAAATCACAAAAGGCATCTGTTCAGTAAATATTTTTTTCTTTCGTTTATCTTACCGGCTATTCTAACTTTCGTAGATTTGATCACATTCTCTCTTGCTTTTGTTCTTCTGAGCTAGCACAGGATCTATACGTGATTTCTATATTTTAAGGCTATCACGAATTGCATTGACAAGATTTTTACCCAATAGTACTGTTACTATCTTCTATTTCAGATCTTTTATAACTTTGTGTAAATTAACATATCTGTTTTGTTATCGAACAAAATGGAAATTCCAACTATTGATTTGTTACCATTCCATAATTCAGAAAATCAGGAAATGCTTATCACTGCCAATAAAATAGCAAATGCATGCAAAAATATCGGCGCATTTTACGTTACAACCTCCAAACTACCGACTTTTGTTAATGATTCAGAAACACTTCACCAGTTATTACGTTTCTTTGAATTGCCTGTGAGCATAAAAAATAAAATATCGGCAAAACATAATGTGGATCATCGTGGTTATGTGTGCAGCAAAAACTTAGAATCAGATGAATTACGTGAATGGATATATATGGGTGATGAAGATGGTGATAGTTATGCAAAGAATCAATGGCTCGAAGAAAGTGAACTTCCGGGATGGAAAGATGCAATCAATTCTCATTTTAAATTGATGTCATCTACTGGAAATCTACTCTATCAAGCGTTTTCATTGGCACTCGGAAAAGATCGGCATTTTTTAGAAGATAAATTCGATCGTGAACCGACCATCTTATTACTGAGATATCCAACAGGTGGTAAATGTCCCGAACACACAGATGTTGGTTTTCTAGCTATCAATTTATTGGATCCAATTGGTGGTTTGCAAATTAAAACACGTGGAAGTAATGAATGGATAGATGTATCCGCTCGTCCAAACACATTTCTATGTCATATCGGTGATGCATTAGAACGGGTAACAAATGGTTTGTGGTATTCAGTTCCACATCGAGTTAGACATAACAAACCTGGCTATCGTTATGGTATCGTTATGTTTAATAATCCACATGCTGATAGTGTTATTGCACCTCTACATCATTTGTTCGGAAACACTTCAACTGAAGTTCATGAATACAAACAACTGGCAATTGTTTATAAGGATTTACACCGGATGAAATTGAATGAATTAATATATTGAATTGACTCTTTCGAAAATTATTTAATATCACTGGATAGATTGTCCAGTCGAAAAGACTCTTTTAAATTTTTGAATCATGTGCTTCTCCGGATTTCGTT